CGATAATGAATGTAAAACTTTCCAGACATGGAGTTTTAAGCCTATACCTATAATACAAAGCATGACAGATGACCTCAATTCAATATCATGTGCGTATGACTCACGGAAAACCTATAGCCTTTAGTGAGGTGTTTTGTAGACACTTGTGAATGTCTCTGAATGATTGTAGTTTTGTCACTCCTTGAAACATTGGGTATAGCACCTAAATTATTTGTCCATCCAAGATTTCCCGGGCCTTTCTTTGCAGTCGCCATTTTGTTTAGGATATGCTTATATTTGAAGCATTGAGAGCCTCATTTCTATTTTTTTTGAGAATGAGGCATGAATAGTGTATTTCAGAATGGTTATTACAAATTTGAAATAATCTACTTTTATTTAATTTACTTTAGATTTATTGAACTGTCACACAATATTTCCAAATATATTAACATTGGCATTGTTTTTGGAATAATTTCAACTACTTTTTTAGTGATAGACACAAAACAAATGAGCAACAATAGTTACATTATACATCCAAGAAATCTTGAGTTTATTGCCTTATTCAATTCATCTTAATATAGGTTACTTCGTACCTGGACATATTTAAGAATCCATAACATTTTCAAACATACTACTTTTAGGTTTTAGCACTGCCTTGAAACTTTTTTTACAACATATTTTTGTGAGGAGTGAATTAAACTTGGAAATTCTATTTTTTCATTATATAGTCATAAAATTTAGTAAAGTGTATTTTGACGATGAGCACTGTCTCCATTCAGATCTGGGTTTCTCACCACGCATAGAATGAACTTTTGTTTAATGGCAGGAAAGTATGTATTACAACAATGATCAAGTCAAGTAGGCCTATTACATTCATGATTTGATGTGACTGAGTTTGATGTCTTTATCATAAAAATGGGGCGTTTTGTGCATCCCGAGAACTGTTCTTGGGACACTGGAACATACTACCAAAAAATATGAGTCTCGACAAAACCGAGAAGTCTGGTTACCTTTGTCAGTTACAATAGAAATTTAAGAGAATCTGTTTGCTTCTTATGGCTTTTTACACTCTGTTTACAAGATGCAACCTGCAGTCCCCATAGTCTTCTCTAACACTCCCTCCTTCCCTCCAAAAAAGGAAAAAAAAGCTTAATTAAGATGCTTGAAAAGTGTCCTTTTAATGTTCTCTGCACATTGCTAGTCCCACTTCCTATCTTCAGAGAAGTATATGTAAATAGTTTAAAAATCAGTCTTCACTTTAAAGCATAAAATTCAGTGCCCATTCAATTTATTTAACTGGGAAAAAAAAATTAACATCAATTTTTTTTTCAAAATTGTTTTCATTCTAATTTCAGTCTGTTATCAATTTCTAGGTATTACGTGTTTGTATCAAATGTTTTCCCTTGAATATTACCATTAATTAATCGCTACTTTAATTATGTGAAAAAGCCATAGGCAAGGAGAATACTTTACTATTGCATTTAGTTCACTGGGTCGAATAATTACAAATTTTTCAACCTGGTTTACCAAAGGTACACTAGGATTCTAAAGTTAATCAAGCTGTCTCCATAAGTGAATAACTAGCTCACTCAAATGAAATTGTTCCTGTTGTTAAACTACTCAGGCTATCTGAGCAGCATGGGACTGCTGTTCACAAATTGGATATCAAACCTGACAGTTCCACTTGTTAATTTTTTACAACTCAAGCACTGGCTCATTGTAAACTTGTCACATACTTAAACCTATTGGCAAAGTTTTCCCAAACTAACAAGATCAGTTTAGTTATGATACAACCATAATTCACCAGGAATAAGAATGTTAAAAAAATAAGACTAACTGAAAAAAACAAACAATTTACCCTCAATTGTTGGTTGGAAAATACCAACATAGTCTTCTCAGGTTCATTGACTTTGCAGCAAAGAATACCGTGTAAGAAGCATGAAGGATTAGGCTTTGGAAGTGATAATTATAAAGTGGATTTAATGAGAATCGTTGTTTGGGTATATTATTGTGTAAAAGGAAACTTAAATTGAAAGTGTTTAAAAATCTCATAAAAGCATCATTGGAATGTAAATAAAACTGGAGTTTTGGGAATATCAAATCATCTGTATCTTTTCGGCAAAACAAAATTATTATTGAAAATATATTTACAAAAATACCAATATTTAAGCCAGCCATATTTGATGAAATAACATATTTTTTGAAAAAAAAAATTAAGGTTGTATTCTGTGTACCAAAGGTAAAGAATAGTGGAAGAATTCAATATTTCTGTGAGAAACATTGGTTAAGTGATAATTAGAAAATGGATTTACCGAGCTCTGTTAAGGTGTATGTATTCTGTAAAATGGTATTCTAAGGTTCAGTTATTTACCTCTAAGTAATCAAGTTGGATCCACAGAATAAACAGAAATTCACCAGAAATTGTTTTATGGAGAAAAATCTGAATTATCTTAACCTCAACTGAATGTGAAGAAGAGAATGGACTCAATGTATCAAACATTGAATCTTTCTTTATTTTCAACACTTCCAAACAACAATCAAAGCTTTTAAAGGCATTTGTAATTTGTCACTTTTACTGGAGTGTGTTCTTAAAGTTAATGAGTATCTGTGATAATCAGAGCAATTGTTTTCTCAATCATCTTGTTCCAGACTAAAAACACATGCCATTACTGGAGTGTGTTCTTAAAGTTAATGAGTATCTGTGGTAATCAGAGCAATTGTTTTCTCAATCATCTTGTTCCAGACTAAAAACACATGTCATTATATAGGAAGAACAATGCCATTCTTCTTGGGATGCAGCACCACCCCCATGATTGAGGGGTACTACACAAAACAAGGGGTGTTCTATCCCTGGAGCATCACCTCTCTTGTCAATGGGAAAGATGACTGACACTTTCTGTACAGTATGCATTATTGCACAGCAATCTTTCCCTTGGGAAAGTACATGTTATACACTAATCGAATGACCTAATTTCTTAAAAAGTGAGAGAGAGGCTTAGTAGCTCACTTCACCAATTTTCTGTATTAAGAACACATTCTAAATATGTACAGAAATTTTGAAAAAATTAATTATATATTAATCTAGGGTTTGTTTGTTCGTTAATCACAAAGCCATGCAATAGGCTATATGTACTGTGCCCACCATTGGTATTGAAACCCAATTTTTAACATTATAAGCCTTCAGATTTACTGCTCAGCCACTGGGGGAATTAATAAGGAGTTAAGAAACATATGGTAAGCTTGCATACCACACTAAATGCAACAGTCTCAAGATTTTTTACTTTATTTAGAAAAAACCCAAGAAAACAGGTATATCTCACTAATGACACTACAATTAATGTATAAATAAACTTTATTGTACAATTCCATAGATAGTTGACCAAGTAACTGAACATGCATGCTAATTAACACTGATCTTAATACATTATTAACTTCTCATCAAACATCTCACTCAGAAAGTAAGGGTCACTAAGCTATTTCAGTCCTGTTAATCTTGTGCTCTTCAGATGATATACAAACTTTTGTTCACTAACTAATGCAGACTATAAACAACTCTACATATTCATGTGGGAGCTATGATCTATGTGAAGAACCATACATCACATCTACAAGGTGTAAGTCTTTTTGACTGAACGTTAACATGTTCTACACACAACCTATGGATCTCTGCTCAGTTGCAAGATACATCATAAATGTTTTCCTAGTCAGTTCAGTTACGATTAAAAACTTAGCAAGCACAAGCTTCACAGGATGTATCACTCTTTCCACTAAACCATGAAACTGTGGATGGTAAGGAGAAGTTGCACACTTTACACAACTCAAACAACAGATGTGTCAGGTTTTTATGTATGTATTACAGTAGGTTTCTGTGACTTGTTGGTGATACATTTCAACAATAAATAAACAGCACATAGTCAACTTGTTTTAAAATAATAAATCAAAACAAATCAAACTTATATATACAAATGTTCATTATACTGATGATTACCTCAGTTGCATCCAGAGCTTTAAAAAATTCTCTCTTTTTTGTCAAAGTCCACACAGGTTGGTTCAGTTATTTTAGAACACAATATGACTGGACAAATTATTCTTCTATACTTTGTTATTACAATACAATCTGTGATAATCTCAATTTAAACATTGCCACCATATGCTCTTTATGGCTAAACTAACAATCACGCAGTCTAGATCTATCTCTTGAACTACATTTTGGATGCATATTTATGCCCCGACAGAGGTCTAGAACATTTCTCACATTACTAGATTTTATGATGCAATAATATTCAATTATAACAAGGAGAAAAACTAAGAATGTTTTAGTAACATGATGTAATAATATAACAGTTACCAATTCATACCTAGTGTACTACACAACATGATTCGTAAACAGTTATATAAACAAACTTGTGATAAATTATTGTTTTAAAAAAACAACAACTAAATTTAACACTTGTGCTATACAACTATCTAAATCATAACTTTCGTATTAAACTTAAATAGAAACAGTCGTGTATATCTAACAAATGGCTGTTAAAGTTATTTCCCTGATCTGTGTGGATCTCTTCAGGTGCTCTGCCAGTGTATCAGCCATGGACTGTGCAGACGTACAGATCAATGGATAAGCCTTCATTCCACTTTGTGAAGTAGTCAATAACCACAGTAATATACAGGTGACCTCTTTCAGTCTCTAGGAGTGGACCAGTGATATCAAGGGCTATTTATTTTCTGTAGAGGAGAAACAATTCTTGCTGATGTTTACCCCCATTTAGGTCAACTTTTTCTCTGGGTGAAAAACACAGTAAAGTGTTCACACAAGTGCTGAAAGTCTTGACTCAAATGCAGCCACAAGAACTACTAATAAATGTTAGCATAAATGCATATAACAACACAGTAACCTCCAATAATTGTGTTATACAAAGTCTAGAGAATCTTGTGCTTCAAAGCTTTCTATAAAAAATTCACTTTTCAAAGATTTGTAACAGGTAACTATAAAAAAAAATACAAAAGATTTGTAACAATTATTTATAAAAAAATATTTTTCAACAAAGAATTCAGTCTTGAGCATTATTGAGTAACATTATCACTAGAAATTAGACAATATTGGAATCATAGTTGATAATATAAACTTCCAATCAGAACAACCTACCTACTTAGAGCAAAACTAAAAATTAACCAGGTAATGAGTATAGTTAATTAAGAATATGTTTTTCTGTTCTTATTTCTAAAGATTAAAATGCATTGTTTCATGAATTACCCTTGCTGTGAACAATGTTTTTCAATATCTCACTAATTTCAATCAAGTTAGCACTAAATACATCTAATAAGCTAACAATGAAAAACAAAGTATAATAATAATACAAGTTTTCTAAGATGCGAGTCTGAATCATCTTCCAGTTTTTTAAGCTTGTACATCAGTAGTGCTCTTAAACTTATTTATTTTCATGAACTAGTACTGCTATACCTGATAATAAACTTTCAGCTGACAATCCTTCGTGAACATTACTTAAAAAGTGATATATCTTACTAATATGTGTATGTTTTATATAGCTTGTGTGATGTATTTTCTTCTGCTACTTCCATTGAATGTAATTCTTTTACTCGTGACTTATTTAATATTTTTTGGATTATTTTCAGGTTAGGTTTATTACATTGTTAGTTACTTTATACTAACATCTTGGACACTCATTTTTCCAAGGGATAACATGGAGTTGTTTCTATATTACACTACCACCCCATTCCAGTCAACATAAAAGAACTTCTTATATTCAACCACAATTTCTAAACTACTCACCCAACTTAAACTCTTTAAATGTTGATCATCTACCACATCTGAAGGTAGTATTCCATAGGCTGAACACCCTATTAGAAACATAATAATGTATTAACAGGAGTCGTGTCAGTTTCCATATCTTAAACTTGTGCCCTCTGGTCTTTCTATCTGCAATTTTTGTTCTTTAAGCTTTGTCATCCCCCTCAAGTCCTTCTATTTAGTGTACTTTAGTTCAACTTCATAACCTCCTTCAAGCCTAGAATCATCCTGGTAGCTCTTCTCTGAGCTCTCTTCAAGTAACCAAAACTACAAAATATCACATACAGTAAAACCAGCACCATACAGAATGAACCAACTACTTCCTTCAACTGGGAAAGCAAGAGGTTGATATTAATGTAATTTAGTGAAACAGGGTCTTTGTTGCTAATAGAGTACCTCAAGGGTCACCTTGGACTTTTGTTCTTTCTTGTTTTCATTAATGATACTGATAGGGGCATAATTAGTAAAGTTTCTTGTTGACATTAATCTCTTGAGTATTGCTAGTTATACTAAGGATTACAGAATGACTCAGGTCAATTGGTAGGTTAGATAAATATTTGGTATATGACCCTTACCATATTAAGTGCAACATTATCAATAAATATTGTTTAATATAAATGGGAATCAATCAATAACACGATTGAATGAAATTATCTTGGCATGGTGGTGGATAAGTCACTCAAGCCCTGTTGCTAGTAATAAAACTAATAACAATTTAGAGTGTATTTATAGACATTTATTACAATTTAATATAGGTCTTATCTCTAAACAAATCATTAGTTAGGCTTCTCTCAGAATACAGTATCAATTTTTACTCTTCTTATCTAAGAAAGTATATTGACTTACTGGAATATGAATCAGAGGATGGTGTACTAGCTAGGATGTTTCCATAGATGAAAGAATATACCCTTTTTTCTTAGCAAAAAATGGGGAGAGGTGACCTTTGAAACTTGTAAGATTGTCTGTGGGACTGACAGGATAAAGGCCTCTGATTTCTTTGTGCTGAAGATAATAGGATGAGAAGAAATAAGTTTAAGATTTGACAAAATGCAGGCTAGGCTTCAGTTAAAGTTATATTTTTCTAATGAAGTGATTGACTTATGGAACAAGTTACTTGTGGCAGTATTGGAGGCCAGCTCTTTGCAAGAGTTTAAGTGGGGGAATCAATGATTTCCAAAAAACTATAGTTGAAATTTTTACTTTTCTTGACATGTGGATGTGCAAGAACAGCCTTGAAGCACCGAAAGGTTCCTTGATTTCTGTTGGTTATAATATCATTAAATTTATATTATCTAAAAGTCTGTAAATCATTTATAATATTAAAGGTAGAAGGTAAAAACAGGTATGTCATTATTTGAGATGATTAACGAATGTGATCTCCTAGAAAGCTTCCAGAAATATGCCTTACAAATTAAAGAAAAAATGTTGAGCAACATTTTTGATAGAATGCACAATTAGAAATATGATTATGATATTAGGAGACAATAAAAATAATTTATAGACAACTTATAATATACATGGAGTTAATGATAGTTTATATATTACTGATAATATTATACATAGGATCTATATGGACAGAATTGTTTCTTTTTACTTGTCTAAGCTGTGCACCAAGTTATCTATAAATATAATGAATATTTCAGTTTTTGTTAGTTGCAGTATGTGTGTGTGTTTGTAAGGATGAAAAAAGTTAATTTGCTGGTACGTGGTAGACTGGATGTTTACTGTAAAGCTATAATTTTTGGTCTTGTTCTTATTAAGAGCTGTAAAAAAATTTCTGCCAGAAATCGCTCTCTTTTCTTACAAACAACAATTAACATTAAAATGAAAACATCACTCTTAAGTCTAAAAAAATCTTCCTAGTTTTATAATGATGTTTTATCAAGGCCTAGCGACAAAGTAAAGCTAAGACAGAAGTATTTAAATTTTAACTTAAACTTAAGGAACACTCAAGTCAATATTTTTTTTATCATCGTTGAAAAATCTTATCAGTTTGACAAATACGAGAAAATATTAATTTAAGTCATGGATACTAATAATATTCTAATTTACATTTAGAAATGATCAAAATCTATGTATATTTTCTTATAGCCAATTTAACAGTTGGTACTTATCTGTGTAATAACATTATCTTATTTGTTTTTAAACCTAAATTTAATATACTTGCTGATTACACAGTAGGCTCACTCTGGAAAATATTTCTTTGTTTTTTTGTATAACGTTATTAACTCAATTACACCGAGTAATAAACTTGTTTATTGATATATTTCCGCTCAATTAAAAACTAATACATGTTTTTAAATGTTGGGATTACAAACTACATTGACTATACAATAGTGACTATCGGTACTAAATCAAATTGTATCTAACGTTAAGTTTCTACAACGCAGTACATAATCTCGAAGGAATACGTTTACAGTTTTCTCCCAGAAGTAAAAAATTGCACGAGTTCACAAATTACGCGGGAATTCAAACTTTAAAAATAATTGGTTAACGTGGTATACATTGTTTACTTCCTATTGGATACTTTTCAAACCTATCACGTGACAAAAGTAGGTATAAATTAGGAGTCTTCGAAAAAACACGTTATATTTTGCGGGAAAATTAAACAAGCGTTGTGAAGTCAGGTTTTTCCTTTTCAATAAAGTTGTTTGGACACTTATTTGTTAAAAATGTCTGGACGCGGCAAAGGAGGAAAGGTTAAGGGAAAAAGCAAAAGTCGTTCCAGTCGTGCTGGGCTTCAGTTTCCAGTTGGACGAATTCACCGTTTGTTAAGAAAAGGAAATTATGCTGAACGTGTTGGAGCCGGAGCACCTGTATATCTTGCAGCAGTTTTGGAGTATCTAGCAGCTGAAGTTTTAGAATTGGCGGGAAATGCAGCAAGAGACAATAAGAAGACTAGGATTATTCCGCGTCATCTTCAGCTAGCCATAAGGAACGACGAAGAACTAAACAAACTTCTCTCTGGTGTGACCATTGCTCAAGGTGGTGTTCTTCCTAATATTCAAGCTGTTTTGCTCCCTAAGAAGACTAACGTATCAAGCAGTGGAGGGCAGCCGAAAAAAGGTGGCGCGAGTCAGGAATTCTAATTTAATTATGCCTACCTAATCGTAATAAGTGACATTCCTGTCATAGTACTATTAATCATTAATAATATTCTGTCTCAGAAATGTTTGTCAATAGATTATCTGCACTATCTTTAAACAATGTATTACTGTAAGTTTGAGATTCTACGAACGTACAAGACCTGAAATTATATTACATTAACTGAATTTTGTACTATTGTAGGCCTGTTTGTAAAGATAAATATTCTGTTCTGCCAAATTTTCACTGCCACTTTTTTGTGTGTATATAAATTATAAACCAGATGTAGTGATGCTTCTTTGTAATAAAAACTTGCACTTGTACAGTTAGTCGTTAGCATATCACAATGTTGCAGTATAATTTTACAAATATCAATTTCTAAGAGTAAAAACGTATTAAGCCAAACATATCGATATTAAAATTGTTTGAGAGTAAAATTCCATGCATCTTTTTCTCTAAACTAATTTGACCATTTTTCATCGTCACACTGTTAAAATGTAAGATTTTTTTTTTTCACATTTGAACAAACTACTGACATTCAAACTCAAAGTATTTCTTGGTAAACATGCTAATCGCTAGTTTCATTTATGTTACTTTAATATACTTACAAAAATGTTTATCTTGTCTAGAAAGGAATTAGGTTTGTTACTTTGCTGAAAGTTTCTTTGGTCAGGTGTGCTTGAATCCATATGGACATTTCATATTTCAGTGGCTAGTTTCATTCGATCAAATTGGTTTTGTGAAATAGCGTTGATTAATTAAATGATTTCCTCTTGACACTAGTTTATTTTTATGAGGTTTTTAGTTTGAAAATAGAAGTTAACATTGCATTTAAAAAGAGAAATGAGTCTAGAATAAGTTGTGTACCTTAAATTCATTGCAACAAAGATTATAAAAACTTGTTGCTGTTTGGAATTTTTATTTCTTAAGTTAGAAGGTCAAATGAAAGATTTCTGTGTCTTATTTACAACAAACAACACTTGGATATGGAGATTAACCTTGTCTGGTATCTTGTACTGTTGTGGTAATCTGAAATGGCCTACCTGGAAAGTTGGTAGTTTAAATACAATGAGAAGCAAATATAGCACAGTTAAGCCTTAAAAAGTATATTGATCTATTGGAGAAACTTTGTACAGGAATTTACACTTAGAGACAGTGTAAATGTAATGATCCAAAGTTCCCCATTCTCTCCCTGTTTTACACTAGGATAAAATAAAACTTTCTTATCCTTATCAAAGTTGATGGACTTTATAGTATTTATAAAAACAGTTTAAACTTTGGTCTAGAGATTCCAAAACCAGCACAAACTGAAAAGTATTTTGATACAGTTTTAGAAGTGGTTGTCACGGCTGATATTTTAATAAGGGTAGGAACAAAGTAAAAAGAAAATGACCTTTATAAAATGTTTTGGCAATAGGAACAACGAATGAGCTTCATTAACAACCTAAGCCTTTTCTTTTCTTGACTTTAACTTTTAATAGATAGATCATTGTAGTTGCATCCACTGTAACTACACTTGAAATATCTTTTAACTTTGTAAATGTAAATAACAGAGCTGTCTTCTAATATTTCTAGTGTTTTATACTTTGAAAAGAGAAAGAAAAAAAATGTTGAAATTTTGGTTAAAAAAGTGAAGTTATGAAAGAACAAAATGTTGAATTATTCTCCACTGGAAAAAAAGTTGACATTTTGTCTTCAAGGAATGGAAGTCTAAATTTACATCCTAGTGAATTTGTAGTGAACTAAAAATTTTATAGATATTATATACTCCAGATTTATTACTAAGCTGGGGCTGGTTAAGTTACAAACTTAGGATTAAATAACTAGTTTCATCTTATTATGAGACTTAACAGTGTTTTCACAAATATTCTGTTTGGAATTTAGAAGATTTGAAACTGTAATTCGGTTATAAATAATGTTGTTTATACAAAAAACTATGCATTACTAATTATTTTGTAACATATTTTCATTACGGTTGAAAATGTAAATTTATGAAGGGAAAAAACAAACTTCCCAGATGAAAAACTGTGAAGATGCTGGATCTTGTTTGTACACTTGTTTATTGCCACAACTAGGTATATTTTGTTTTTGAACAAATTTATTACATCAGTCAACAAACCAGCCAGATACATACTATCATACATATTAGGTTTTTAACTCCAATAGTAACAATTCCAGTGAAACATTTTCTATTTATTTACAAGTGTAACAATAACACTGAAAACAAACAATTTTATGAAGAGAAACTAGATGTTAATATAAGCTTAAATAATTATACCAACTTGAATTAAATACGATCCTCTACAGGAGATAAACAAAAGGAAAATTTGTGAATGCACCTCGTAAGTACTTGAAATCTCGTAACACTAGCAGACAGATAACAAATGTTTTTATCCAAGCTGCTAAGACCTAAACACTTTTTAACATAGAGTTATCAATATGTTTACTTATTCTAGCATCTATTACGTGTTTCAAGTTTACCAAAACGTAACACATTTACAGAACCCGTAGATTTTATCTTATACAGCAAACTGTTTAGTATGTGTAACTTGGGTGTATTATGCAATTTAAATTCGATGTTTCTGTAAATTTAGAAAACTCTGGTTTCTTGACTAAAGATCTTGTTTATATTGGCTAATAATGATGAACAAAGAGAAATTTGATTGGTTTAATAAAAAAAAAGTTGATCAAATTGGTTAGCTTTACAAAGACGTGACATAAGATTGTTTAATGTTATTGGAAATACTAACTTTAATTGTAATTGAATAATTCTGAGATATGAAATGTACAAATAACTTGATATGTGAAATACTACTAATATAAATTCAAGGAAACTTGTACTTTCAAACGAGTTTAAAATCCTTTGGCAGAAATAAATCAAAATAAAAAATTAGCATTTAAAGATTTTCTAATACTCAACTTAGAGTTAGGTGTAAGTGGACATTGTTTTCTTTGTGGACTCCTCAGAGGGCAGGAAGTTATAAAAGCCTAAATATTCAAAAGATGATAAACAACACAGTTTCTTAAGTTAAAAGCAGTCTTAGCTATCTGGTTTGAGTATATCGTTGTGAAGAAAAACTTTAAGCTTAACCTTCTTGAGTTTCTAAAATTAAAACATTTTTTTCAGCTGTTTGACAAATATAATTATAGTTCATTTGCAATTGCACAGTCAGGTTACTAAACATTTCCATCGCATCATCTCTTCACTGGATGATACCTGTATTTTTAAAGAAAACTCTTTATGATCTATAAATAAATGCAATGTTTAGGGAAGTTTTTGGACCTTATCTGTTAGTGATCAAATGCTATCACGAGTAAAGTTTGTTTCTCTTTCCTAAATGCCTGCCCACTCCAGTATGAAAATAAGATATGTTGGAAACTAAAAGTCACTATTGAGTATTGTTCAAATCTAATCAAAAAGAAACCTGATGATATTACCAAATAAACTACAGAAATGTGACCAAAAAACCTGGATTACTATTCAAGTAAAACACTTTATATTACTAAATGAACTACAGAAATGTGACCAAAAAACCTGGATTCCTAGTCAAGTAAAACACTTGATGTTACTAAATGAACTACAGAAATGTGACCAAAAAAACCTGAATTCCTAGTCAAGTAAAACACTTGGTGTTACTAAATGTGACCAAAAAACCTGTATTCCTAGTAAAGTAAAACACTTGGTGTTACTAAATGAACTACAGAAATGTGACCAAAAAAACCTGGATTCCTAGTCAAGTAAAACACTTGGTGTTACTAAATGAACTACAGAAATGTGACCAAAAAACCTGGATTCCTAGTCAAGTAAAACACTTGGTGTTACTAAATAACTACAGAAATGTGACCAAAAAAACCTGTATTACTAGTCAAGTAAAATACTTGATGTTACTAAATGAACTACAGAAATGTGACCAAAAAAACCTGGATTCATAGTCAAGTAAAACACTTGGTTTAGAGTGACATGTATTGGTAAGATAAAACTTACTTTAGATGTGAAGCTTTGATTTTATAGTTGGAGTCTTGTGGTTTTCAAGTTAAAAAAAATGACTAAACTAGAGACCCAGGTTTTTCTGTTACATTTCTGTAGTTCATTTAGTAACATCAAGTGTTTTACTTGAACAGTAATCCAGGTTTTTTTTGGTCACATTTCTGTAGTTCATTTAGTAACATCAAGTGTTTTACTTGACTAGGAATACAGGTTTTTCTGTTACATTTCTGTAGTTCATTTAGTAACATCTGAACAAAATACAATACATTCTGTATCTGAACTAATACATCACTACACCTGAATTTCTTGTGTTCAAAAGTTCTTTTTTGGTATGCTATAGTAGATTTTCCAATTTCTGCTTTTCAACTAAATCTCAATTCATTGTTTCTGTTTTGTCAAGTGTAACTCAAAGCCATCTAGTTTTCTATTTTATTCTTTAAGGCATAAGAAGAAAACACATGAATTATAAGATTCTAAAGTCATTACATGAACTAAAAATTTAACAATGTTGACTGTCTGACACAATATACTATGAAAATAAACACCCTAAGTCTCACATTTAAAAGATTAACAGGATACAATACATAAAACATAGTTAAATTATATAAATAATACAAATGATATAAAAGTTTTTTTAATAACCATGAACTGAGGCTAAGCAATTAGATAATAATAAAAAGTTATATATTGATTAAATACCATAAACTATGTACAGAATGACACCAGGCAAGACTGATAATCATAACAGAATTTGGGTACCAGACATGCAAGTGAAACAAGAACCTACCAAAAATGTAACAGAAAAACCTGGGTCCCTAGTTTAGTCATTATTTTTTCTGTATTACCCGAAAACCACAAGACTCCAAAAATAAAATTTAACTACCCAAATAAAGAAACTTATCTTACCAAACTCCTGCTATTACATGTTTTAAATTTTTTCATCAGACATTTCACCTTTCAAAAGAATATTTCATCTGAACACAGTTTCCAGTCTTGAAGAAGGAAATGTGGATAATGTAGAAAGGCTGATCAGTGTCTTGTACATCATTCTACATATTCCTGTATTTAGATATATAATTGCCACAGCAATGAAAGTGCAGTAAAGCTATTAGCTTAAGTTTTTATCTACTGAAAGTGCACGTATGCTTAAGTTGTTGTTTGGCTTATCTAGAAACTAAAGTGGTAATTGGAGCACCATGTTATGTAACATGAAACCTAGTCATTATAACTGATAATATTATAAGCTGATTTTAACTTCTACGTCATATTTATTAGATTAAAACTTTTATTCTGTTCTACCACAGTTGATGAGAATTTGAGTCTTGCAATATTTTTCTTATAAGGTTTTTCCTGAAGCTTTGTTTTAAAGAAAACCTATCATCTTCACTATATAAATATTAACCAGAAACAGCTCCAAGACTTTTCAAAGTGAATAAATGACATTTATTTTTATAAACTCCTGTAGCGTATGATTATTAAATTAGTTCATGTTACCAACACACATGCCACAAAGAGACAAACTTTTACTACATGTTCTACCAATGGCAGTAATAACCAAATGAATGTTTACTTACTGGATGTATGGTTTAAAAAACACATTCACACAAAAAAAGATGGAAATCAAGCAAACCTTTCCAGTAAAATAAAAAACTCGTACATTGATTATTAGGTGTAAAACCATCAATTCACAAACAATTACATTTTGCTATTACTTGTTTTTAAAAAATCAGCTAAAAATGAAAATGGGGGAAAACATGTTCCCATTAAGCACTGATAGATCTTACATAGGTTTAACCATGCCCAGTACACCAGTAATGTGAGTTAATAAAATATTATCTCAATAAGTTTCATAGACTTTCCAACAACTTCCAGAGAAAAAATATGTCCTAAAAGTGTAATTTCAACTCGCTTCTCGTTAGGCCATGGCAAAAGCTGACACTATACCGAGTATGTTTATAGTTGAAGCATTCTTCTATAACTAGCTTAGATTACATACTTTGTTTTATTTGAAACATAACATATGCATCAAAGAAGATCAGCAAATGTTATCCCAAAAAATACAAGGTATATTTCAAAAGCTTTGTTTCCAATATTTTACCACCATTCTCCAACTTACTATTTCCATAATGAAACATACAAGTAACAGGCTACACGATGATATACTTTCATCTCAATTGTCAAAACTGTGCTAATTAATTTGCATGTATTCAGTTACAAAGTAAAAGTGTGATTGTTTTTACTATTTCTTTACGCTACAACACTAGTTGATGTGTTTAGAAAGATAAATGGCTGTTTTCTGGCAACACTACCACAGTTTGTTTGCTTTAGATCAAAACTACATTGGGCCATCTGCTGTGTTCACAGTGGGGAATTTAATCCTGGAGTTTGGCATTGTAAGTCCGTAAACTTACTGCCGTCCGACAGGAGGACAAACAACCACAGACTAAACGGTACATACATGCACAGTGCAAAACAATAAGAGCTTAAAATGATTTTCCACATCTGATAGGCAATGTGTAATAAACCCTTTTCATATCTTGTAAACAATGAGCACGTATCTTCATATAACTTATGAATAATGAGAAACACAATGTGAAACAAAAATTGTACTCAAATCTACAACATGCGTAACATACACACACACAAATTAACCCTCATCACAATTTTTACACAACATATGTCCACAAACACTAACAATCTTACTCGTAGCTTTCACAATCACTGATAGCCTTGATTATTGCTTTGAAACAAATGGAGAATACAGAAAATATAATATAATCACGGCTTTGAAATAATGGGCAAGCATAGAGATCATATTGTCAACCCTTACAACAACTTCTAAATACTGAAGAACCACAGAGATCATATTGTTAACCAATGCATCTGGCTTTCAATGCAGGCTAACCACAGTGACTCTGCTGTCAATACCTACCTTGGTTTTCAATTTCTGGGTTATCAAAGAGATCATACTGTCAACTTTTTATCTTAGCTTTCAAATGTTGGGCAACCAAGAGACCATAAAGTAAACCCATACCATGGATTCTAATTTATGGGTTACCATAGAGATCATAATGTCATCTAATCCTTATCTTGGCTTCTAATTTTTATGCAATTTTTACCTTGGTTTCTAAAAACTGAATAAAGAAAAAATTAATACTGTCAACTTTAAATTCATGCTTCCAAATATTTGTCAATCACATGCAGCATACTGTCAAAAACCATCTTGGCTTCCAAGTACTGGATAACCATAGAGAAATAACACTGTCAATTGTAAATATGCTGCTTCCATATACTGTCAACCTTAGAAATCATGTAATAAACCCATATACATAAAGAAATCTGTCTTCACACTGTCAGTTCTAACCAAGGTTTCTCCATAATGGACAGTAACAGATACTATAAATATAATAAACGTTTCCGTACAACTGAAGATGTTGAATAAATTATAACGTAATTTCTTGTTAACATTTTTCAAGTAATGGATAACCACACATCTTTGCCAACCCTAATCATAACTTCCAGGTGACCACATATGGTCAGCACTAATTATGCCTTTCACTAACTTTTGAATAATAAGTCAGTAGATCATATTTCTGCGTCGAACACCAACATTTTGATAACCCAAAATTTCACTTTCTGCTTTTATGCAGAAAAGGAAGTACTGTCTGGAGGAATAGGAACACCTGCTTGTATTGAAGTACAACAGTCTAAGTTTCCTTTTCTTCAGCCTATTTCAAAATATTAAAGAAAAATGAGTAAACACTTCATAAAAGATGTTTCCAGTCAAAGCGAATGTTTCCAGTGTGAGTCAGTGGTAGAAGAGGAGGGCTGACCAGTGTCCACTTGCCTTCACTACTCTCTTCCACAGTAACTACAGCACAGTAAGGAATCTTGTGGACAAGGTGAACAAGGTCATTGGCATTTCTAGGTGAATGACCCACCAGCTGCCGAGAACAGGTATCCAAAGTTGCTGCATGACCAGTGAAGAGTATGTTTCCTACTGATGTATATGAAAAAAGTATATTATGTTATAGAATATCACAAAGTAGTCTTAAAGAAAACATGGAATAGTTTATGGAAACCCTTTTAACTTTTATTAAGAACTGACAGCTTTACTCAGAATTTGAAGTTTGTGACTTAGATACACGTAATTAAACTATGACATAGAAAATGTTAAGATCAGTTTTTGTAATTTATTTTCAAAGGTTATACGAATTAAAGTCTTAAGTAATTTTTTTTACAAGACTATGTAAAATTTGAAAAAAAAACTTTTAAATTTTGAGATTTAGGAGCAGATTAAATCTCATTGATGAGATCCAAATTTCGCCATAAAATGTATTTATGAATGGTGTTTTATGAAAGACTGATTATAGTTCGAACATGTATAACAGTATGGCAATGTGTATGTAATAAATGTTTATATTAATAACAAAGATAAAAGCAAAGAAAACAGTGATTTGGATATTGATGTCTATTTTGATTTGGAAGCAACTGAAATTATAAGCAAAATTTGAATTTTCTACGAGTTATCTAAAAAACAAATAATATATAGCAACATCAAAATGCATTAGAATATGTATTAAACCAATATAGTACTAAAATTTCTAAAGTGAGTCTGGCTAAACTATTAATTTATAGTAATGCCAATGGTTCTTGAAGTATGATTTTTACAATATATTTTTACTCTGAACAGCAATAATTTGTAAGTACATTCGATACTTTAAAATATATTTATGCATTCTATTTCATATAATTTTTATAATTATTTTTTATCTGACAGTCTTTCTTGAAAATACACAAATGCATATTCATAAAAACCTTCAACTTTTGCTTATGAAATAATAAAGTTACAAGAAAAAAACAGAATACTGAAAACAATGGAACAAAATCCGTGTTCTCTAGCAATCTTTTAAATCAGATTTTATATGCAAAATGATTCAAATTAATATACTCCTAAGCACTATTATATTTTGTCATTTACTGCTTTCTTAAAGTTTCATAACCGTTGCCTATTTACCCTAGTTCAAACTGTTAAGTGGATCCACTTTATGCAATAGATAACTTATTTATTTTGTATGACTGCTTTCAATATTTATTATTACAATCCTAATGTTAATCCAGCTATATTTGAATCTAAAAACAGAATTTTATTGGAGTCAGTAGTGTTTGTGAAAAATGCTTAAATTACAAAATGAAAATTTTAGTAGTTTATTACTTACAAGGTAAATAAGTCCACAAGTAGTAGTAAAATAGTTAGTTAAACACATAAAAAAAACTTAACTGTATTAGTTATAATGTAAATAAGCCCACAAGTAAAAACTGTGTACAACACATTCAGTTGTTTCAATTAATAAACTCTATTATTCTGTCAACACTTCACATATTTTGCCTTTTTATTGATTACTCAAATAGGACAGGTCTACAGAGTAAATTTCAAATTTATCATTGCTTTGTCATATATTCAGATTTATTTGGATAAGTTGGTTAATAACAGCTGCATGCACCTTAAATTAGAATTGCTGACTTTCATACATGATTATAAAAACTTAAGCTGTTTACACTGAAAGAATTAGTCATCTTATTACAGTTTTCTAAGTAAGTCACTAACCCTGTATTTCAGTAATTAATAACAAATTAAACGGTATCTACTGTGGTTTCTTTCGCCTGTACAGTCTTTTACACAAAGTTTCCAGCTCAACTGTGCACACTGAATATAGCCAGAAGCAAAGCGAACTGTAAACTTAGTGCACAAAGTTCTAGAATTAAATATATATATTCCATGTTTTAACTCGGTGTTAAAGAAGTTGGGAGGCAGTAAGTCAACTTACTATTTCTAGAAGCCCTCTTCAAAAGTGTTTGTGTTATATAAAAGCTCCTGATATAGTACTGTTCACTGGACTCCTTTTTCTCCCACAGTTCGGCAGTCGTTATCAACGGGTTGTAATTAAGATCGATATTAAACCCATACTCAAGCATTTCTTGAGGAGTCATCCATGCAGGCATACTGTCTTGATACCAGGCTAGCCATTCAAAAAGCCCTGGCTCAACCCGAATAGGAATGTCATCCTGACCTAAAGCTGCACAATGGTTGGTTTTCAATAATAATAATAATAATAAAAAAAAAGTAAAATAACTTAGCCACCTCAGAGTAAAAGCAGTGACATACAAGTCTAATCCTTTGAATGGCTTTTAAAAAAATCCACAAAAAATTGTAATGGTTAGATTTTAGTTATTTCTTTATCTCAAACAATTCTAAATGTTAAATTTTACATTCAGGCAAAAAGTAATCATTCTGGTAATACAATATATTTAAGTGTACTATTATGGGCTATAATCTGAATAAAAATACAAAGAAACAATACACAACCTTATTAGCTACAAATCCCTTTGTTTGATTAACACATCCAAATTACAGCCAAAACTGGAAATATTAAAATTAATGTACCAGGTAAACACTGTTTCATATTGTAAATATCACAATTAATGTACCAGGTAAACACTGTTTCATATTGTAAATATCACAATTAATGTACCAGGTAAACACTGTTTCATATTGTAAAT